GTGTTCCCTCTTGAATTTTTATGAGCCCAGCGAAGACATATGCTTGATATGTCTGACGGCGTTCTTAAGGGAACCTGATGAAGTACCTCTACAGCTGTTATGTCTGCTGGTTTGCCGAAGGAAGCCCTGTGAATTAACGGGCAACCGCGATATAGTTGATAGTTCTGTGAAGCATGCCATGCGAAAGCAAACGCTTTTGTTGGGAAGCGTCGGTCCTCCTCGCCCTCCTCTGCACCGTCGGCCGCGCTTTCTTCCCGCACGCTAAAACGAAACTCAACAGGCAGTGGTATCCGTGTTTTCACAAGGTTCCCTTACTGACGACATCATCCTTCATCAATCCAAGTTTTTCGCGGATTTGGCAGGGTGTATATTGTTTTTTTTCGAAAGTCAGCCTGGTGATCACACGACATGCATACCACACTTATACGTATAGCTTTGTTTGGGAAGCCGCGTTCCGCTCACCCTCTTCCTCGTCATCTGCCGCGCCTTCCGACAAAACAACTCAAACGTATACGTTTGATGCGAGCTTCCACGCCCCACTAAACAACGCGATCATCAATCTCGAATATCCACTTCCCATCGAGGAACCTTGATGGCGTCGCGAGGACAGGAATCGCAGCCTGCGCCTGCACAGCAGCCCACTAGGAGCCGCCCCCTTTGGCTACGACTCGTCTCGCGCTGCCGCGTCCGTCTCCCAGGTGCCCTTGGCACACCTCGGTCGTATATCGCGACCGCTTGCACTGCCTCGGCGTCCTTGGGGCCTGCGGTCTCGCACGGGCAATGCATTGCTGGAGTGATTCTTGCAGCGGCTGCGCGCCGCATTGGGAAGCGAGAGCGGGCATGCCTCCTCAGGAGGGCGGCGGGGCTGCGAAGAAGGTTCCGAGAGCTTCCACGAAGGCGCGAGGCCTTCCGAGCCTTTGAGCAGGCCCGCCCTCTCTCGCCTCCCCCTGGGGCGCCCCCAATTTGACGGGGGCCGCGATGAGTTACCGGTGGGATGGCAGGCTGGGCCCACTCCCAGCACTGCCGCGGCCACTGTTCGACGACCCCTGAGATCCGACGCCGCGACAAAATTACAGCACTTTGAAGAGTCACGACTAGAGCCCCCGACCCCATCTTTCTGCGTCATTCTTCGAGCTGGGTCGTTCTGTGAGCGTCCGGGGGGGCCGAAACTGGGCGCGAGCCCCCCGGTGCAAAAACTATCTAAACGCCAGGACCTCGGGAACCCTGTGGCCCACGCAGGCATCCGGCCGAACGGGGGGAGGAGGAGGAGGAGGAGGAGGAGGAGGAGGAGGAGGAGGAGGAGGAGGAGGAGGAGGAGGAGGAGGAGGAGGAGGAGGAGGAGGAGGAGGAGGAGGAGGAGGAGGAGGAGGAGGAGGAGGAGGAGGAGGAGAGGAGGAAGGGGAGGAGGAGGAGGAGGAGGAGGAGGAGGAGGAGGAGGAGAGGAGGAGGAGGAGGAGGGGAGGAGGAGGAGGAAGGAGGAGGAGGAGGAGGAGGAGGAGGGGAGAGTAGGAGGAGGAGGAGGAGGAAGGAGGAGGAGGAGGAGGAGGAGAGGGGAGGGAGGGGAGGAGGAGGAGGAGGAGGAGGAGGAGAGGTCGCCTAAGCCCTTCGGAGAAACCCTCCAGATCCAGGGCGGAAGCGGGCACCACGCGCGCTGGCGACGGCGTCCTGGAGGCTCTGGCGGCTCGGACCCTCCGCGGGCGATGCAGGAGTCTGGCCTGCAGGGGCGGGGGGCTCGCAGCTGCAAAGGCCCGCAGGAGGGGCTGCCCGCTCAAGGTGCGCATATGCCTTCCTTGAGCCAAAATGGCTACGGAGGGGGGAGGGAGGAGGAGGAGGAGGAGGCGGAGGAGGGGGAGGAGGAGGAGGAGGAGGAGGAGGAGAGCTCGTCGCCCTGGCCGTTGACTCCTGACGGCCGCATGATCCTCAGAGCCGGCCTGTAGAGGCTTTCCGCAATGGCGGGAGGCCAGCGTTTTGCTCCTCGCCCCCCCCCCCCCCCCCCCAAGGGCGCCCTCGAGGGCGCGACGTTATATTCGCGCTTCGCGCATCGTTGTTCGACTCCGATTCCTCCTTATCATTCTCTTCTCCCCTTGGGGGCGGCGCGAGAGCGCGAAGCGGTTCGCGCTTCGTGCAACGCGAAGCGCGAAGTTAGGCGCCCTTGCCCCCCCGACCTCGCTGGAGGTTTGGCCTCATCAATAAATCTAAGGCTCGCGCCTTCTAAGAAATACCCCTGCTTCTAAGAAGCCTTCCCCCCTTCCCCTCCCCCCTTGTGCGCACCGCCACAGCAAGGCGCCGCAGGTCCGGGACCAGGCTCAGAGGTGCTTCCCCTCGGAGCCGGGCGTTGCAGTGTTTCCACGCCAGGCGCCTTCGCCCGGCTGCTGGCCCCCAGAGCCCTCGCAGATAAATAGGGCTCGAGTTTCACCACCCACCAAGCCACCCCAACCCATCCCGAAGGCCCCAGTTTGCCCTCCTTCTCCAGTGGGGGGGCGGGGAACATTGAAAAAACACATGTGGAACGCGTACCCCCCCAACCCGAAATTAGGGTCTTCGGGTTGGGTTGGGTTGGGGGGTCTGGTAGGTAGTCCGAATGGTGGCGCAGAGCGTTGGGGGCTGGGGCTCCAGTCGTTGTTTCGCATGGTGCTTTCATGTTTTTCGGGACGTCGGATCTCAAGGTTGGGCGGAGGTGCGACAGGGGTACACGCTGGTCGTTGAAAGTAGGTATTCCTGCATTCCCAGATCCCAATCCACTTCAACCGCCTTCCTACTTCAAGAATCGATATGCCTTTGCCGTGTCTTGTTATTCTCTGGGAGGGCCTGGGCCCAATCTACTTTATCCGCCTTCCCACTTCATGTTTTCACCTACCTCTTCCGATCGACGTGTACATCTTTCCAGAGCGCTCTCGGAGCGCTCTGGGGCGCTCCGAGGAGGCCGCCGCGCCCACATCCTTCAGGGCCGGCAGATCTCAGAGGTCCCCGACGTGTCTTGGTCCGATTTTTGTCCCTGCCCTGGCTTTGTCCTGGTGCCGCTCCTTCTCCTGACCCGTGTCGGGGGCTGCAGAGAGGGGGGTGATGACTGAGGGGAAGTGGACATCGTGGCGTGGGCCACGATGTTTCCTCAGATCTCATGGCGCCCCTTCTTCTTCCATGACGTCCCTGCCCCCCCCCCCCCCCACACCTGGGCCGCGCACATGCCGCTGGCCATGATTTGCACCCCCCCCTCTTGGACGCCCCCCTCTTGGCCGCCCCCGACCATGGAAGCCGTCCCTCGCGAGGGCTCTTCGCGGGCGCTCGGCCGCTCCCTCGCGAGGCCTCGGGAGGCAGCCACCGGCGAGCCCCCCGCCCCTGCAGGCCAGACTCCTGCATCGCCCGCGGAGGGTCCGAGCCGCCAGAGCCTCCAGGGCGCCGTCGCCAGCGCGCGTGGCGCCCGCTTCCGCCCTGGATCTGGAGGGTTTCTCCGAAGGGCTTAAGCGACCTCTCCTCCTCCCCCTCCTCCTCCTCCTCCTCCTCCCCTCTCCTCCTCCTCCTCCTCCTCCTCTCCTCCTCCTCCTCCTCCTCCTCCTCCTCCTCTCCTCCTCCTCCTCCTCCTCCCCTCCCCCCCCTCCTCCCCCTCCCCCCCCTCCCCCCCTCCTCCCCCCCCCCCCTCCCCCCCCTCCCCTCCTCCTCCTCCTCCTCCTCACCTCCTCCTCCTCCTCCTCCTCCTCCTCCTCCTCCTCCTCCTCCTCCTCCTCCTCCTCCTCGGGTCGCCTCCGGCCCCGGGGGAAACCGCCCTGGATCCCCGACGCCCTGGATCCCCGACGCCACTTCGTCGCGCCCTTGGCTCCGACGCGCGGCCTTGCGCCTTCAGGAGCGCGCCTCGGCCACCGGGGGCAGGCTCCGCCTCGAACGCGAGGTTCGCTGTGGGGTGTGCCGGGGTGGCCGCTTCGTCTATTTGGGCGCGTCAAAAACAACCGGCGCGGCGACGCGTTTTTTCGCAAGGTGGACTCCCGGAGGTCTCGACCCGCTTCCCAAGATTGGGTTCTCATCCTGAGTCGTTTTTTGGCAGCCTTGGGGCCCGGCGAGGGTGCCGGGGCGCGCCGAAAATCACGAAACGCCGCCGCATTGGATGCTTCAATGTGCCGGAGGTCTGGGGAACCTCCAGGAAGCGGTCGCCAGCGCGCGTGGTGCTCGCTCTCGAGGGAATCGAGAGGCCAGCGTTAGGGGGCAGGGACTCTGCCCTCCAACGTGTTGGAGCATTCATCACGGAGCTCTTTCGTAATTTGCGGCCTCTGGGGGCCCTCGCCTGGTCCCAGGACCGTTGAACATCGGCTCGGGATGAAGAACTGGCCCTAGGGAAAGGGCCGGGATATTTGTGGACCCCGTATTGAACAACATTAGCCATCGCATGTCTGGGAGGAGAGACCTCCTGAGGGTTGGTTCGGAATTCCCCCTCGAAGAAAAGCCCTGACCAGGTCCAGATCGCCCCTTCCTCCTTCAGGGGCTACGATAGGGGGGGATAGGCATAGGGGGGATGCATCGACCCCCAATCGCCCATTGATCGCCGACAGGGGCCTGATAGCCCCAACCTGCCCAGGAAGGTGCGGATTTACTATCGGAGGCCTATCGCCGATCTATCGGCGATGTATCGCCGATTCCAGGTCGATGTTTCCCCCACGCCTCTCCCTATTCCCCCTATCATTGCCCTTCCTCCTTTGCCAGCCTCCTTGCGACTTCTCCTTCCTCGGCGGAGGGTGGCCGAAGAATTGCAGAGACCTCGGCGGCAGGCCAGCGACAGGAAGAATTGGCCCCCTCAGGAAATTCAGGAGGGAAAAAACCCACAGACAGAATTCATCGTTGATTCCCCAGAAAATATGGGAAAACATGGGAAGTGAGGGCGAAGACAAAATCCCAGAAAATATGGGCAAACATGGGGAATCCTGTTATTCGTGTGTGTGTATTTATTTGTGTGTCCCAGGGCCCCTTCAGAAATGCCAACTTTGTTTGGGAGCAGGGGCTCCGGAGCGGGCCAGGTGGAAAACGCTGTCGCCGGTGTACAACGCGACGTTCGTTCTGGCGGTGAGCGACGTGCGCCGTCAGCACGTTCGGCTGCTGAGGGCTGCCGCCTCTGCCCTGCCCCTGTTTGGTGGCGTCTCCTCTGGCCTCCTGACGCCTTGTCGGTCTCCTCCTGGAAGCTCCGTCGGTGGGTCGCGGCAGAGTGCCGCACGTCTTCGTGGCGGTGTCGGGCGAGCGTCGACGGACGGACCAGAGGCGAACAGCATGGAACCCGCCCAGTCGCGCGTTCAAGTGTCGGGAAGAGAAAGGGGGGCCAGACCTCGTCCCAAAGTAACACGTAGCTCATCCCGTCGAAAGGAGAGTGCGAGCGCACTAGCGTCAGGACATTTTTGCGAGTGATCTCCACGAGCAACCCACGTCGACGAACGGATATTCCTTTTGGCTATTCAGGTCGCTCTACTGGCCGTCAAATGCTGCGCGCCGGGAAGGCTACGCAAGCGTGGAGCGGGCAATGTTCAAATCCTTCAGTGTGTTGGCCAGAGGATTGAGACCCAGATGACACGAGCAGTCGGGAATCGAGCGAATCATTCGCGTCAGGAGCGTGCATGTTTTCAAACGCTGCTTTCCCTCCGTCGCCCCGACCGAAAACAGGTTGGCTCTCACAAATGAGTGCTGGCCCCCAGAACCCCGAGGTCTTCAAAGACCTCCGGAGAGCCCTGGCTGCCTCCGGAGGCCCAAGCAAAATTCAGGGACGCCGCAAAATCTCAATCCTGGACCCTCGACCCTCGATCCTCCTCGTTGTGTGCCCGAAGAGCTGCAGTCGATAATTGGATACCCCAGTTCCCAACCCTCCTGTGTTGGGTTCTCGGTTTGAATAGAGCACTGCCTGCTCCTTCCCTCTTCCTCCTCCTCCTCCTCCTCCTCCTCCTCCTCGTCCTCCCTCCTCCCTCCTCCCTCCCTCGCGGGCCCTGCGGGGCTGCGAACTGTGAACTGTCGCAGCTTTCGTGGGCTCCTGGGAGGTCCCGCGGAGTGGGGGGCCACGCCGATCCAGTTGGGACCTCGCGGCTCCCTGGAGGGCTGCAAAGTGCGCAACCGTCCCCTTTCTCGTGGGCTCCTGGGAGGTCCCGCGGAGTGGGGTGCCACGGGGAACCAGTTGGGACCTAGGGCTGCGAAGTGCGCAACCGTTGTTATTTTCGTTGGCTCCTGGGAGGGCCCCCTTCGAGGTCGCCACTTTCGAAGGCTGCTGGGTGGGGCCAGCACAGTGGGGCCCCACGCAGATCCCCAAATGGCATCGCCATCATCTCGCTGCTTCTGCCGAGGTGATTGTTTTTTTCCGCCCCGATGTTTTTGTTCTGCTTCTCCTCCCAGTACAATGTCTCCTGGTCTCCCAGTTCGGCCACGCACATTTCGCACGACATAGATATCTGCCCTGCACCGTCTCTGCAGTGTTGCTGTCACAGTATTGCCGGCACGCCATATATCATTCTTTGGTGCCGATGGGTTGGGTACGTCGCAGGGTAATGAATAAAGCAGTGGGGTGCCGACTCCCTTCTCCTTCTCCTTCTCCTCCCGCTCTCTGTCCCCTTCTTGCCCGACTGCGCCTGTCTGCGCCTGCCTGTTGGGGGAGCCAGCTCTGTCCCCCTTTCGCCTGCCTGCTGGGGTGGCTGGCACAGTGGGGTCCCATGCAGACCCAAACTCGACCTCGCCATCCCTGGGTAGCTGCGAAGCGTGAAATTCTCGCCGCTTTCGAGGGCTGCTGGGGGGGGGCAGCACAGTGGGGTTCCACGCAGACCCAGCCGGGACTTCGCCATGCCTGGGAGGCTGCGAAGTGCGAAGCTGTCGGGGCCAGCACAGCGGGGTCCCACGCAGACCCAAACGGGACCTCGCCATCCGTGCGTGGCTGCAAAGTGTGAAATTGTCGCCACTTGCAAGGGCTGCTGGGGGGCCAGCACAGTGGGGTCCACGCAGACCCAACCATGACCTCGCCATCCCTGGGGGGGGTTTGAAGTGTGTGAACTTGTCGCCGTTTTCGAGGGCTGCTGGGGGAGCCAGCGCAGTGGGGGTGTCCCACGCAGACCCAACCGGGACTTCGCCACCCCTGGGGGGTTGCGAAACGTGAAACTGTCGCAATTTTTAAGGGCTGCCAGGGGGGCTGGTACATGCTGGGGTTCCACGCAGATCCAAACGGGACCTTGCCATCCCTGTGGGGCTTTTCTGTGTGAAGCTGTCGCCATTCTCGAGGGCTTCTGTGCGGGGCAGCACAGCGGGGTCCCACGCAGACCCAAACGGGACCTCGCCATCCGTGCGTGGCTGCAAAGTGTGAAATTGTCGCCACTTGCAAGGGCTGCTGGGGGGCCAGCACAGTGGGGTCCACGCAGACCCAACCATGACCTCGCCATCCCTGGGGGGGGTTTGAAGTGTGTGAACTTGTCGCCGTTTTCGAGGGCTGCTGGGGGAGCCAGCGCAGTGGGGGTGTCCCACGCAGACCCAACCGGGACTTCGCCACCCCTGGGGGGTTGCGAAACGTGAAACTGTCGCAATTTTTAAGGGCTGCCAGGGGGGCTGGTACATGCTGGGGTTCCACGCAGATCCAAACGGGACCTTGCCATCCCTGTGGGGCTTTTCTGTGTGAAGCTGTCGCCATTCTCGAGGGCTTCTGTGCGGGGCAGCACAGTGGGGCCCCACGCAGACGGCTGCGAAGTGTGAAACCTTCCCACTCTCGAGGGCTGTTGGGGGGGCCAGCACACCACGCAGATCCAAACGGGACCTCGCCTTCCTTTGGGTGCTGCGAAGTGTGAAAACGTCGCCACTTTCGAGGGCTGCTGGGGTGGCCTTCGCAGTGGGGGCCCACGCGTACCCAAACAGGACCTCGCCATCCCTGGGGGTTTGCGAAGTGTGAATTTGTTGCCATTTTCGAGGGCTGCTGGGGGGGCCAGTACAGTGGGGTCCCACGCATTCCCCACGGGGACCTCGCCATCCCTGGGGGGGTGCGAGGTGTGAAAGAGTCGCCACTTTCGGGGGCTGCTGGGGGAGCCAGCACAGTGGGGGCCCACGCGTACCCAAACAGGACGTCGCCAATCCCTGGGGGGGTGCGAAGTGTGAAAGTGTCGCCACTTTCGGAGCTGTTGGGCGGGGCAGCAAAGTGGGGCCCTACGCAGATCGAACCGGGACCTCGCCATCCCTGGGGGGGTGCGAAGTGTGAAAGTGTCCCCACTACCGAGGGCTGCTGGGGGGGCCAGCACAGTGTGGCCCCATGCAGATCCCAAACAAACCTCGCCATCATCTCGCGGCTTCTGCCGAGGTGATTGTTCTTCCACCCCGATGTCCTCATTTTGCTTTTTCTTCCCAGCACAATGCCTCCCGAGGGTGGATCGTTCAAGCGAAAAGACGCTCGTTCGAGCGAAAAGGTAATCCGTTCAAGCGAAAACCAACCGAGCGAAAACCAATCAATCCAGAGCAGCAGAGAGCAGCAGAGAGCAGCAGCAGAACAGCAGAGAGCAGCAGAGAGCAGCAGCAGAACAGCAGAGAGCAGCAGAGAGCAGCAGCAGAACAGCAGAGAGCAGCAGAGAGCAGCAGAGAGCAGCAGAGAGCAGCAGCAGAACAGCAGAGAGCAGCAGAGAGCAGCAGCAGAACAGCAGAGAGCAGCAGAGAGCAGCAGCAGAGCAGCAGAGAGCAGCAGCAGAACAGCAGAGAGCAGCAGAGAGCAGCAGCAGAACAGCAGAGAGCAGCAGAACAGCAGAGAACAGCAGCAGAACAGCAGAGAGCAGCAGAACAGCAGAACAGCAGAGAGCAGCAGAAGAGCAGAGAGCAGCAGAACAGCAGAGAGCAGCAGCAGAACAGCAGAGAGCAGCAGCAGAACAGCAGAGAGCAGCAGAACAGCAGAGAGCAGCAGAACAGCAGAGAGCAGCAGCAGAACAGCAGAGAGCAGCAGCAGAACAGCAGAGCAGCAGCAGAACAGCAGAGCAGCAGCAGAGAGAGCAGCAGAACAGCAGAGAGCAGCAGAACAGCAGAGAGCAGCAGCAGCAGAGAGCAGCAGAACAGCAGAGAGCAGCAGAACAGCAGCAGAGCAGCAGCAGAACAGCAGAGCAGAGCAGCAGAACAGAGAGCAGCAGAACAGCAGAGAGCAGCAGAACAGCAGAGAGCAGCAGAACAGCAAAAAGAGCAGCAGAACAGCAAAAAGAGCAGCAGAACAGCAAAAAGAGCAGCAGAACAGCAAAAAGAGCAGCAGAACAGCAAAAAGAGCAGCAGAACAGCGAAAAGAGCAGCAGAACAGCAAAAAGAGCAGCAGAACAGCAAAAAGAGCAGCAGAACAGCAAAAAGAGCAGCAGAACAGCAAAAAGAGCAGCAGAACAGCAAAAAGAGCAGCAGAACAGCAAAAAGAGCAGCAGAACAGCAAAAAGAGCAGCAGAACAGCAACAAAAAGCAGCAGAACAGCAAAAAGAGCAGCAGAACAGCGCAACTCTGGGCCGCCGTGGGTCCCAGGGGCGCCAGCCAGAGCCGGGAACCATGATTTCGGGCTTTTCCGGCCTGGATCTCTCCAAAATCATGGTTCCCGCCATCCTCGGGGCCGCCGTGGGTCCCAGGGGCGCCAGCCAGAGCGGGAACACGATTTCGGGCTTTTCCGGCCTGGATCTCTCCAAAATCATGGTTCCCGCCATCCTCGGGGCCGCCGTGGGCCCCAGGGGCGCCAGCCAGAGCCGGGAACCATGATTTCGGGCTTTTCCGGCCTCTCCCAAATCATGGTTCCCGCCATCCTCGGGGCCGCCGTGGGTCCCAGGGGCGCCAGCCAGAGCCGGGAACCATGATTTCGGGCTTTTCCGGTCTGGATCTCTCCAAAATCATGGTTCCCGCCATCCTCGGGGCCGCCGTGGGTCCCAGGGGCGCCAGCCAGAGCCGGGAACCATGATTTCGGGCTTTTCCGGCCTGGATCTCTCCAAAATCATGGTTCCCGCCATCCTCGGGGCCGCCGTGGGTCCCAGGGGCGCCAGCCAGAGCTGGGAACCATGATTTCGGGCTTTTCCGGCCTGGATCTCTCCAATATCATGGTTCCCGCCATCCTCGGGGCCGCCGTGGGTCCCAGGGGCGCCAGCCAGAG